TTATATACATGTTTAAGCCAGAATGATTTGACATTTAAATATGACTTCCCTACGACTTTAAATGTTTCATTGTTAATCCATTGTGGCTTTTATCTCTCCTCTGCGTTTCGCCCCGCATGGAGTCGACGTTGTAAACCGATGGAAATAAATGATGCAGTGATTTACCTTTTTGAGTTTATCCATCAGAGGCAGGAAGTGGGTCTGTAACAGCTGAGCTTTTGCTTTGCTGATGATTGGCTGAGAGAAGACTGTAGGACAGAGACGGACAGAGAAGAAACATATGGATGTTTTTTAAAGCCTGCAGAGTTATAATTGGGTTAAAGGTTGTTTTAAATGTCCTAACTTGATGGGAAATGACTGATTTAACTGCAGAGTGAATCATATCAGTGACCCATTAATATTCAGACACTGTTTCTGCTTCACGCTCATCTCCTGCTGTTTTACCAGCCAGCCTCTTCATCCAGGCCCCCTCATCGATGCCCAGGTTGTTGTAGATGATCTTCAGGATGTTTCCCAGCAGAGTGTTCATGTGCTCAGAGGTAACTGACGTACAGCAGCTGTCGGCTCTGTCAGGATTGCTCTCTGGTCCGTGCTCCCACCAGTGAGACATGTAGCTGCACAGCATGGGCAGCACTACCTGCAGGGGAAAGAGACACTCATGTTTTATTAGCCTAAACTCTTGCTTCTTCATCTAAGAAATGTTCATCATTTCCTTCTTTTTGGACTGGAAATTAAATACAGATTCAACTGGACCTAAAAACAAATAACTATAATGTTTTACACTGTTTGGGAGTGTGGGCAACGTTCACCACTGTCATCTCCTCAAAGCCTGGTGTATGGTTGATGCTGGGGGAGGTTAATCACGCCACAAACTGACATTTCCCTCCATTGTGGGACTGATTAAATTAAGATATAATATTTCTTAGTCTGAGGAAACTAGCCCCCCCCCGCCAGCAGTGTCTGGATGCAAAGGGGGCGGGGCTTTGAAGGCGTGACGACAAAGCTGCGCGACGCTGGAGAAAACACAACAGTAGCATGATGCACTGCGGCAGCAGCAGCTTTTGAAGGAGCGCTTCATTGAAAGTTAAAAATTCTCTTTTCTGTTGCTGTTGTTCAATAAAAGTACGTTTTAAGATCATTTGAGGCAAGAAAATTATACTTTAAAGCGTCACTATATGGTCCATTTACCCATTTAATTCGTAATTAAAAAAACTATTTCTGAAGTTGAGAGGACTGCGGCAACCAGAGGAGCTTCTTATGTTTCCACTCCCCCACCAGCTTTCTTTTGCGCTTACTACGTCACAGTCAGTTGCGCTCATTGGTCAGAGCGTTGGCCAATAGGCACAGATATTGTTTGAAAAACAACGGGTTGTTCTCATCAACAGGGACGGATTTAGGAAATTTGGGGCCTTAGGCAAAGACAGGCAGGGGGCCCTCTGAATTGAGAAGACAACACGTACAACAGAACCATTATCCAGATAGAGAAATGTTAATAGAATAGACATCCATTATCTGTTCTAGGTTGTGTCCCTCTCTTCTTGTCCCTTTTCTTCTTGTTTTCCTCTCTATGTTTTGTACTCAACTGACTTTTCATGCTGTCTCTAAAGGAATGAAAGATTTTTTCCAAGCACTAAGCTCACTTAGCTGATTGCTCCTTCCTGTGTTTCCAAAAAGGCCAAAGTAAATAACCCAGTCCTTCTTTTCACTGTAGACAAGCCATGATCTGCTTCTCTGTTCTCCATTTTTCCTTTGGATGAAATAATAGCTGCATGAATCATGACAGCAGACAAGATAGAGGAGAGCAGGAGGCGGGGTTACCAATCTACTCGCTCTGGAGAGCAGAGTTCGCTGCTTTTAGATGTTGTCTCCAACGTCTCCAGTAGCAGAAAACAGTTGCTAGATTTGGCACCAGGCGCCTTTTTTTTTTAAATCAAAATGCTAGAGGGGTCTGAAAAGTCGCTAATTATAGCAGCAAAAGTGCTCAGTTGGCAACACTGCTCTTTGCATTGTTTGTTTTCAAATGGTTTGCTGCTGTCTGTTTGGACCTTTCTGAACATGTGCAGCAAATGGACTGATCCAATATGGTGGACACTGAAGGGGTGGGGGGGGGCACACTTAATGATTAATAAGCCTTCTGATGGCATTTTAAAAAAAGGCATTTTATCAAAAACATAATTAATGCACAAATAAGGAATAGTTGTATTAACCATACATGTAAACAGAGTTTTATCGGCCCCCCAGGAATTTGGGGCCCTAGGCAACTGCATAGTATTGCCTAATGGTAAATCTGCCCCTGCTCATCAACAATCTTCCGATGTCTCATTCATCGGGGCCAGACTAAATGATACCTTTCATCTCCCAATTAGTCTGGTTTATCAGGCTAGAAAGAAAATTAATTTTGCCAGAAATTAAATTCTATTAATCACCTTTTTGGTCACTTGAGACATTTTTTTCAGTGTGGAAAATATAATCAGTCTAAAATATCATTTTAGTTAGAAATTTAACTCAGAAAAGGAGCCTAAATGATTTATGGCAGCAAAAAACAGCATATTAAAAAAGTTTTATTTAGTCTGGGACTGAAAACGTTAAACTAGAAGTATAAAATATAATCCCTCCAAGTGAAACCATAAAGTAAAGGTCAAAATCTCTCCGTTTTTCACACTCTGCTATAATTTGCTATGATATGACGTTTCTGAATGTAATCGAATTAACTCGACACACTTAAACCCCCCCTATTTGAAGTAATCCTCGCCTATTTTGCATACCCAAATTGAAAAGCAAATAACTTAGGAACTGTAAGCCCAAATGATACATCATTTGAAAGCTAACATCCTCTAGTTTCTGAATATATAAATTGGGTGAGTAGAACACACACCGAGCTGCATCACTTCAAACATGAATCAAAGTTGTTTTTTCTTTCTCAAGAATGTCTTTTTTGAACAGCAGTAATAAAGACATTCTTGAGAAAAGGCAGGTCTTACATTTGTTTTACATCATCCACAAATGCAGAATTCGTAGGATGATCAGTTTTTGCTTTGGGACTCTGACTTTGCTAAATGGTCTTTGGACGATAAAAAAATAAATCAACAAAATGACTTTTTTTTGTTGTTGAGTATTTCAACAAAATATAGATTTTTATTAGGGAATATGGAATGAATTTTGTTCCATTATTGTTGCAAAAAAACTCCTTTTGTAAATGCAAATAGAAAAAAAAGCAATGTAGAAATTAAAAACTTTTTATAAAAAAAAAAAAAGGATTTTATATTTTCTCTGATTTGTTTTTTTCACATTGGTCTTTTCTATTTGCATTTCCAGTTTACATTCTCGTCACTTCCAGTTGAATCCAAACACTCAGTCTAAAAATATTTCCAGCAGACCAATAGAAATAAAACTTTGCTCCTTAGTCCAGAGAAAAAAATAAATAAAATTGATATGAAACAAAGTTACCCTTAAAATCTTTTTATAATTAAGATTTTTAAATTTTAATGTATAGATGCTTTTTTTTTCAAATTTCCATTAAAACGATTGTGTTCTTTGCTTGTTATAATAATAATGAGACCAAATTGACTTCATACTCTCCCTGCTCAGTCATTCAGATCTACAGCCATTGTCAGTGATTGGACTAGGCCACCTCTGGACCCCGTTCCATCTTATAAAACTAGAGTTTCTAATTGGCAAAAAGTTGAAATGTGAGTTTTTCACCTCCATCACGTGAGGCATCTGAGTGTACTTCATTCCAGACTCCGCCAACTCCATGATCTCTTCCAGAGACTTTTCCAGGTTTGGCACCAAAGGACACACCTCCCCGACCGGTCCTGGTAGACCCAAAGCTGAGAGCAGAAAGGTGTCAGAAGTGTTTCACCAACATTAGATACAGTTTCCTTCCCTATGTCCATCTATGAACAGAAGCAGAGTACCTGTTCTGTCTTTGCTTCCTTTGTTGTTGTAGATGGAGAAGCTGTTAAAGTTGTTGAGGTGTGGTTCCAGGAAGGCGACGGGAAAAGCTGCTGAGAAGGCAGCTAAACACTTTCCTAAGGCTGGCCGCTGCCTGGTGTGCATGGAAACAGAAGAGGAAAGGGTTAAATTGACTGCATGCTAACCGAGAGCAAAGAGATCGTTCAGGCAGCACCGCAAAAATCATCCAGAAATAAGAAAACATTTCTTAAATTAAGTGTATAAAACTTTAAAGGCAGAGTGGAGGATATTTGCAAATTTTTGAAAGGACCCGCCCTCTCCACTATAGAAAAAAAAAATGAACATGGACAACCCTTTACCTGTTCCTAGAGAGGGATAACCTATAAACCGCGTGCGAGAGCGTGCACGAGGAGAAATTTGCTCGTGCACGCACTGTTTAAAAGTTACTGTTTGCTTCGCTCATACAAGCTCACTTTCCTAAAGAAGATTAGCAATTTTTCTACTAGGTTAGACTCGCCCCTGGTAAACAAAAATGGTGACGAGCACGTAGGACAGCCTTACGTAAACACGTCACCAGAATGATTGACAGTTAGGAGGACCACTGATTTAGAAGATCCATCCGGAAAAAAAAGAATCCTTTTTTTAAGACTTTTTAATGCCACTTGAAAAAAAAATGTAAGACCAAATTCACAA